GTCATGTGAATTGATTGATGGATTTGAAGGCAATTTACAAATGTAAAGAATAAACTTATATTTTACGACAAAATCAAAGATGACTATACCGATATATGGTAATCTAAACAATATGTTTATTTAATTTCAATTATCATTATTATTACTATCAAATAGCATCTGAATTACGGTTTAGTACGTACTGAAAAGTATAGTAAGTATACAATTTATACATTTAAAGAATAAAATATTTATATGCTTTAATCTGGTTTTGACTAATAGCACGTAAAGTTAAGAGCATCTTTTAATTTCATGCTCTCAAACACAATGAGATGCAAATTTATTTTAGTACGTACATATGTCATGAGCAGACTATGTTTAGGATGAGAAGTATATTAATATACAGTTTCGATTATAACGAACTGTGTAAAATTTAACCAACTTCAACCAGATTTAGGATGAGAAAACTCAGCTCAACAACATCCTTAATTAGCATTTCCGTACCGTAAATCATTCCACTTATATGAAGGGTGTATTGCTCTTGTAAGCATTAAAGAATTGAGAATTTAATTTTTTCTTGCTCAACTCTAAGTATAGATATTACTTAAAAATGCAATAGAAATATATCTACAATTTTTCAATATTATGATATTATTATTTAATCATTTATACTCTCACGTTGATTGTTACTAAAACGCTATTTAACAAACATTTTATTAACACATTCGTTTTTGAAAGTAACTGACATAAAATCCTTTTTACACAACAAGAAGGAAAGTTGTCAAGTTGTAAATTATTCCATGCTTTTTTACTTTTTTGCTATATTATAAGCCCACAGTACAGTTTTAGGGAAATAATTATCAAATCTGACAGCAGTGAATAAATTGAAAACTCAACAGATATTATTAATACACAATTTCTATATTAATAATAAATTTTATTGTTTTTTACAATTATTTGGACAGGTTTTAAAATAAATTTTTTTTTTGTTAAATACTTCTACATTTATTTATTGTATCTTCTCTTACAATAAGACTGACAATAAGTTTCTAATTACATAATATTACAATTTTTTATTTTAACTATACATAACTATAAAATAAAACACAAAAAAAATAAAATAAAATAAAATAAAATAAAATAAAATAAAATAAGTAAACCTTATATCATGAACCTCACTTAGATCAATGGGTTAAATTCCATTGGAGTTAATTTTAGGTGGTTCATTAAGAAAGCAGTTCAACTTCATCAGATTACTTACAAGAAAGGTGCGGTTCTTACTTCAAGCTATTGAATATTAATTAATGGCTGGATAGTCAGGTCTTTTTAGCAGGGAAGTAATGAATAGAAGTGCGAGATTCCTTGCTAAGGGGTTAACATGTTCTTTCCGCTCTCTATTGTATTTTTTTCTTACATTGTCAAATTCAGCTTTAACTAAGGGAATTTGTAAATTTCGGAAGATACTTTCATTCCTAATATACCATGGGGCATTAGTGATTGTTCTCAGTATTTTTTGGCTGAGCTCTTTGGATAATTTCAAAGGTGAATACTTACCTGCTTATGGTATGGAAATGGTATTTAGTAAAATTGTTGGAGATGTACTCCGATTTAAGGTAAAAATGACGTGTATACATTTAAGTTAATTAATTTTAATTCGCCATGTTGTGAACCCTTTCATCACCCAAAATAAGTGAGATTAAAGTTGGTTTGAAGCTAGCACACGTTGTGGTGACAACTGAGCTACTTATTTGGATATCAAGTGTGTAAAGTATATACAAGAACGCCAGCTTATATTAGCAACTTAGTAGAGGGATATGATTTACATTTGGTTTTAAAACTTCAATTCTGCAGATACGAATCTAAATCTGAGTGGATATTTGCAGGTAATAGACAGCGTATCTTATATATGAGCCCATTATGCCATACTTTGTCAAATGCTTGTTTAACATCGAGAAATACCGCGGAACAATATTCTCTTAGCTCAAATGCGTGTCTTATTTCGTTCGTTATACGATACGCTTGCTCAATAGTTCCATATTTTTCCCTAAAACCAAATTGGTGGCAAGGAATGAGGTTTTGACCGGTAATGGTTTTAGATTTGAAAGCAGTGCTCTTTCAAAGAGTTTAGAAAGGCATGGCTGTAAGCTTATTGGCCTTAAAAAGTCTCGTGATAAAATTTCTGGTCAAAAGGGGTAAGTTTTTCTATGATGATGGGTGAGATGTTATCCTACCACGGTGCCTTTTTGCAATCTAATTTGTTGGTGATTATTTAAACACGATCATTGGCCGTAATATTCATGTCAATAAATGGTGCATATAGATGCTGAGTGGGAAAGTCACATAATTTCTTGTTGCTGGATTTGGTTGGAATACCTCTTTTAGGTAATCAGCAAAAACGTCAGATTTTTCTTCATCGCATCGCGCCCAGTTTCCGAGAGAGTTTCTTATTGGAGAATCGGTTTCTATGGGGGAATTTATACCTTTGCTAGCATTTCATAAGGATGAATGTTTTTTTGCCATTCGGACATAGGTTTTGAATATAATTATATTGCCTGTATTTGGTTTCCCTGCTTAATGTAGATCTAAGTCTCCTTTGGGCAGCCTTGAATAAGATTTTCGGTAAAGGGGACCTGCATTTTTGCCAATCGCAATTTCTATTTCACTATTTGTAAGTACTTTATTGGATATGTAAATTTTATTGTCTTTAGAGGTGGAGTTTTCTGCTGCAGAAAACAGAATAAAGTTTAAAATCGAGGTTTCGTCCTCAATAGCCGACTTGCACATTATTTTGTAATTTGTGTGTATGTGTGAACTAATGTCTTTCTTATATTTGAGCCAGTTTGTTCTAGAACTTGATAAGCTATAGGAACAGTCATGTAACTGAGGGCGAGCAAGTAAACAAAATGTAACTGGAGAATGGTCAGAAGACAAATCGCAGATTGTGTTGAGATAAAATTTCTGCTTATGCCTGTGGTCACGGCGAAATCTATTATGTCTGGTACTTTATTGTTATCTGCAGGCGAATATGTTGGGTGCCTAGGAGAGACTACGTCTAGTTCATTTTTTCTATTTAGAATAAAATTGTAAAGCTGTTTACCTATTGGATTACAGAGCCGTGAACCCCATAACATGTGCTTGGCGTTGTAGTCTCCTGCTGCAAGAAATATGTTACCTAGATTTAAGAAGTAATCCGTAAATTGCGTCTCAGTAATGTTGAAACAAGGGTTAAATTTTTTTCTTTATGCTTAAGACGCATTGATGTGGCTTGCATATAATTATGAACATGTGCACCTAGAAAATAGTGTATTAGACCCTTTCTTAGCAAAATATTTGTACGACCATGTGCTTTCGCATCAGAGTGATTGGTTTTATGAAATAAATAACCAGGAATAGAAAAAAAATTTTGTTTGTTAGATGTGTTTCTGAGCAAAGTATTACATTCAGACTTTCTCGGTACATGAAGTTTGTGAGCTCTAGTTTTTTTTAGCTTGAGCCGCTTGCATTCCATGTACAAATTTTTAAAGTACTCATTTATTAGACAAAAACATTTTTATTAATTGACTTTGCATTTTAACTATCTCGTTAAGAGTAGTTTGCATAGTTTTTGTAAGAGTGGAGATCATCTTTTCCAAACTATTACTTTGAACTGGAGGAGTTTGTTGCTTGTCAGATTTAACGACATTGGCATGCGACACACCTGATGTAACAGGCTTAGAAGATAAAGGTTGGAATTACGGTAAAGCTTGCTACATGCTACGCACACTGTACGAAGAGTGCAATATGACTTAGTATGACCATACTCTTGGCAGTTTGTATTCGTTTGTAGGGCTCCTAAACGCTAATTCTGCGGTAAATAAAGTATTGGAAGTAGTAGATGGGATGGATCTCATTTTTTTAAGCTTAGGAGCTTAAAATTGAAGCTTGAATTATTTTTTAATAATTTCTCAGCTTATGCAAAGGAGATTTTTTTTTACCAACTGCCAATTAAATAGTATTAGTTCTAAAAATTCTTCATTATAATGTATCGATTACTGTTGTATTCGTTTTGCGATTAAAGGCAGCTTCAATTTTTTGTACTTTTTTACATGCATACTTCATAACTCCGCACAAATGTACAGTCTACCTTACAAGTAACATTCAATTTGTAGTAATTGCTACCTTCCTAATGCAATTCCAAGTCAAGTTCCGAACGTGACTGGCTTTCACCTTTAACAGGGCAATATGGAAGTGCAAGTTCGTATATTGCAAGTCAACCAAAAAACGAATTTTCAAAGTGGTGTGTTTTGTTTGTATTATATATTCGATCAATTCCGGACGAACTCTACAATTTTTCATGTTGTTTCTCTCTCGCCATTGATACAATTTTTTATTCCCAGTTTACAAATTTCAACACAATGAATTTATGGAGAGGTTGTTTGCTTTTCATATACATATGTATATTTCTTCTCATTTTCTAGTTTCTCACTGCTTGCACGTAATTGTTGTGTATGTACGACTCTTTTGGTTTATAATTCCGAAAAATGATCAAATGCGCGGTTTATTTGACTCAAGACCATAACCAAGTGGAAACCGAGAGTTTGTTCGTTGTCTGTTTAAAAGCAAGTAAGTCTTTCTTGACGTTCACGCTAGTTTCTAGCGAGCGACAGTTATGTAAGCAATGTAAGAACAGCTGTTTTGCAGTTCATTTCGTGATTTAACTTTGCTCTCGGATATCTACATTTCATATAAAATTTCACAATATACTTTTTTTGATTTAAACTCCGACATATGTTTTCAATTGAAACACAATGTGTGCCGTAAACAATCATGATTAGAAGAATAATTATTTTTGAATATTTGTGTACATATTGAAATTCCATTTCGTTAAAAAGAAAAATGCAAATATTTGTGTACATATGTAGAGTTAATTAAATTATTTATTTGTTTATGAAAAATATGTACAAATATTTGCCACTTTTAATTAGAATATTGTTTACAAAACAATTTAGTAAAGATAACTTTTATTAATAATTACTTTTGCTAACTCTAAGATAATAAATAATTGCAAAGGTATTGGAGAGCGAGACCTACTTGTTTTAACTGTGAATAGTGTGTTGTATCCACTCTAGATACTCCGCAACGTTTGTGTAGACAGCGGGATATCCTGCCATTCCACACTTTGTAAATCCATAACTAACAATACCATAGGCGACCCAGCGGGAATATTTGCGGTCAAAGTACATAAGGGGTCCTCCACTATCACCGGCACAAGTGTCTTTAGCGAATTCACCTCCAGCACAAATTTGTTTTGATCCAAGCTTTACACCCAATTTCTCTAACACTTTTGTACAGTTTTCTCTTGACACAAGAGGTATACGTAACTTTAGTTTGATAGGACTGTGTATATTTATAAAGTATTTGTTGACTGTAAAAAAATTAAAAGGTAAATAATTTACAATATTTTGACATTGATTATTTTTGATTTTACATAAGTCTGTTCTGCCCCAGCCTGACACTGAAAACATTTGACCAGGTTCAAAGGGATGCACTTCATTATCGGCTGGTAAACATATTGGCATTACAAAGTGTGTGAAGGAAACTTTATGTTTCAAACGAATTATAGCAATATCATTAAATTTGTTAAAAGAATTTTCGTCATATTCTGGGTGTACAAATAGCTTATCATAGCCAATGTTCAATGCTGCATCGGCACAATTTAAGTAATTTGGTTCTTCTATGCAATCAGGTTCAGTTTTCACATTAAATTCTCCAAGACGTATATATTTGCTGCGAATAATTTAAAATAGTCTTAAATAAAGATTCTTTACTTTTAAATTTTGCATTATGCTTACAGTCCATTCTTCTCTCGTACCCCGTTACCAAGAACGCAATGAGCTGCCGTTAATATATGTTGAGTTGATATTAAAGCCCCGCTGCAACCAAATTCATCTAAGGTTTCCACAATTGCCAATTTGCAAGTAAGTATATTTTAAAAAATGATAGCAAACAAATTTGTGACTTGAATTTATGAATGAACTCACTTGTATTATAAATAAGTAATGCTAACCACGGATATTCATCTAGCTCTGCTATTTCTCCACCATATATACGATTTGTTACCTGTTTGCCGCATTCATTTGATAGGTTAAAACCTTCTGAAGACTCCACTGTATGAATTCTGCGTTTGAGTTTCTTTTTTTTGAAACGAGCTCTCAAGTCTGAAAAGCTTCTGTATTCAAATTTAGTGAATTTTATTATTGGATAGATGTAACTTTGTCCATTGGATGGGCAGCATACTAGTGGTTCAATGAATTCACTGACTTCAGTAGTAGAAATAGTGGATATACACTGAACTTGCCTTAAAAAATTTACTTTTTCAGCTGGCAAATTATATGAATTTCGGACTTTTAAGTATGCATCACATTTACTAACTTCCAAACATACTCCTAAAGTTTGCTCATTCGGTATGTGACAGGAAATCGCGCCTACAGAAAATGTAGCACTTTCATTTTTAAACTGTAACCAAAAACTATCCCCATGCGTATGCTGTATTATTAACACTGATAACATTAATGATATTGCACTTAATTCCAAACTCCAATTCATTCGCATTGTAAACAAAATTACAGGCACAACCAAGTCCAATACACCACAAAGAAACCAAAAAAATAATACGTCTACCGCACTATTAAACACTCGATCGCAACAGTTCGACGTGCCGCCCAGCTGTGAAAAAACTACAACACACATTTGGAGAGAGTGACTTTTGAGTAAAAGAAATTTAACTTAACAAAGGGCAGCAAAGATGAATGATTAAAACAGTTTTGAACGTTTAAAATAAACCAAACCTAAAAACATTTAAGTCGAGAGCTCTATAGCTGCTATAGTTATTTTAGGTTGACATCTTTTTATTTTGATACTTTACCGTGTACAAACTGCAGCTACAAGTCAAAAATGGGAGCGAAAATTGGCAGCACATCGGCGGTTATATGTCTTGTTTGGAAGTCTATTGAGAAATGAATTAACTGGTCGATTATGCAATTATGTATGTACACACGCTCTACGAGTTTTGAATGTTTTTACTTTCGTTTATGTCAAATAAAAAAATGAAGCATATATTTAGGTTTTTATAATTTTTTCATTGTGAGAACCAGTATCCATAATTTTATATCACATGTCATAAATTTGCACGTTGTTAGACTCAACTCTTTAAAACTGACATTTTTTTACTGTAAGTTCCAACACACACGAACTTCATTAAAGTTACATGGAAATCAGAAAACCAATCTAAATGTTCAGAGTAGTAACAACAACATAAAACTGAGGAGTGTTATAACATAACCTTAAGTCAAGAAAGTTGACCATTTATCATGATATTCTGCGTAGTAGTGAATATTTTCTGTATTCTGTCACAATAAAGTAATTACGATTAAAAACTCAAAATTAATTTTAATTTAATCTATTTTACAAACTGTATTAATATAATAGAATATAAAATTCTTTTAAATTTTTTTTATTGTTAATGTGCCGCCAAAATTAGAATTTATTGCAAACGTATCGCAACAAAAAATTGTTGAAAATTACTAATATAGACAATTGTAGTAAAAGCAATTAATTGGCTAAATTATAGTAATACAGTATCTTTTCTAAAATCATGGACTAAATAAAATCTACACAACATACATAATAAACGAATTCAGTGCAGTAGACACTTTGTCGTTAATTTTAAATTACTACATATGAATGAATTCACAAATTAATGAAATTAATGATACTTCTTAATATCAGAGATACTATCACAGGTCGATACAGAACAATTGATAATACACATTATTCTTACTAAGTTGAATGCTAGTTACCACTTAACTCATTTTACGAATCAATTGTGATAATAATAAACAAATACACAAAAATGCTAAATTTCGACCTATAATAACATATCACAACAATATCCAAGAAACAATAGATATGTTGAAAACTTTGTAAAAACAAAACTTAATAGCAATAATGAAAAAATATTGGACTAACAAACACAACACAAATGAACATTTGAGAAAATGACAGCTTAGATCTTTAACCTGGTTCCATGAACTTCAGTAAAAAGATTGTAAGTGACTAATACTGTAATAAATATAAGATATTATAACAACATAAATAAATATTTGCAGAATTTTAATATTTGTGTTATATTTAAAATCGTAAAATTGTTGCACAAAATATCCACTATTCAGGGACTAATATATGTATATGTTCATTTTAACAATTAAGAACAAGTAGATCATATTTTTAAGAGAAACAAATTGGAAAAACAATAAATTATAAACCAATAATATAACAATTTTTCACAATTTTATTAAAATTAATATACATAGATCACAGTCAAGTAGCCACTTTTTAATTGCATTTATCTAATAAGAACCAAAGTTTAAATTAAAATAGTTGATTTCTAAACCCTATTACCTCATGCTTTTACGTATCCAGTCAGCATAGCTGATAACTCGAGTATAGACAGCTGGCCAGTTTTTTAATCCACATTTAAAACCAAATGAAACTATACCTTCTAACACCCATGCTCCACTTTGGAATCGCATTAAAGGCCCACCGGAGTCACCTTCACAGCTATCCTCTGCATATTTGCCGCCTGCACATAGTTGGCTGGCTACAATATTAACTTTACGCTCTAAAAATTTTCTGTGACATTGCTGCTGATCTACAAGCGTTACATTTAACTTTTGCTTAATAGTGCTACTTGAATTTCTTAATGTTCGGCCCCAGCCTGCAACGGTATATTGAGTGCTTAAACCTAAATCTGATTGTTGAACTACGAACGGCAAGCATATAGGCTTAATTTTATCTGAAAATAAAATTATTCGGTTTAGCCGGACTAAGGCGATATCATGTTCTTTGTTTGTTGACGATTCCTTATAAAGTTCATGAGGTTTAGTATGTTCCACAGGAACTTGAAAAGCTTCAGCAGCACAAGCAAGTTGATTGCAGTCAATTTTTTCTTTGGTATTATATTCGCCTACCCGAATGCTTACACTGAATTAAAAATTTTTAAAGAGATATTTGGATAATTCTATTGATTTTGAATAAATTGCTTACAGAGGACCAATTCTTTTTTCAATTGCTCCTTTCACACAGTGTGCTGCGGTCAGAACGTATCTCTCATTTATAAGTGAACCAGCACAGTTTGTGGACAAAGTTCCAGATTCTATTTCAAAATGCAATTATTTAAATATGTTTTAATAAAGATATTAATAAAAGTAAAAATACTTCTCTTATATTCCAATAAAACCATCCATGGAAATTCATAAAGATCTGCGTCTTTGCCGCCATATATTTTGGTTTCAATTGTCACTCCCCCGCAAATTGGAATTGTCGGTAGCTCCAGTTGTTTTCTAGCTTCTGTTCGGTCGGTCCGATGTCTTAAATACGAAGTTGATGATATTGGTTGAATTTTATTCAAAGGAAATCCTACCACAGTGGGTGCAAACTGTGAATATTCGAAATAATCTTGACTAACAAAAGGTTGCACATAGTTTTGTTTACTTGCAAAACTAGTGTCACTTGTACAGCATACTTGTGGTGCAGTGTTATAGTCATTGTAGCATTGTGATGCCTTAACAAATTCAGTGTCAAACGGTTCTATATGCTCTCGTTTAAGAATTGATAATATAGTTTGACAATCAAAGATGGAAACACAGGTTCCAGGCCGTTGATTTGGATTAATGCAACGTCTGGCTAAAATTAATTTGTTTAAAATCGAATTATTTCATAATTTAAAATTGTTTATATTAAGCTTTCAGTTTATTCTTTACTTTATACTGTATTGTTTTCATGTTTGGATCAAAATATGAAAAGATTTCTTAGTTAAAACTTACATGGCAGTAAATAGTTATCACTACTGATTTCCACGAAACACAATCCTAAAGAAACAATTTTTAACAAAAATACAATCACTTTCATTTTTTCTCAAAAATTTTCTTTATTTTTATATTGAATTAACTTGATAAAAAATTGTAGTTATTTTCTTTAAGTTAGTCAATTCGAAGGCCAATGTCAATTTTTGTGTACTATTCGTTGTTGTTTCAACGCATATTGTATTGCACTGTGAGTTAAGATAGTATTACTTTTAACAACTTCTGAAACTCAACTAAAACCAGTAAACTCAAAAACCGGATTTAATAAAACAGCTTTACTAAAGTTTACGGACTCTTATAGCGATTAAGCAGAGGATGACTAATATGAATTTGTCTTAATTATTACACCCTACTCCATACAAATAAAAACGAATAACTCACTTATATAGCATAATATTATAAAACAACTGATAATTTAAATAATATAGAATATAACTTTGTGTAAAAAATGCGAATGTAAATTATGCAGGTTAATATACGATATGTTAAGAAGAGCTTAAAATTAAAACTACATAAGTTATAAAACAATTAAAATACCATCAATAGTACCTTACAATCATACTACAGCTCATACAATTGGTAATGTAAAATATTAAGTAGATTGCATGATCTATAATATTTTGTGGTTTATGGTAGAAATAAACCTATCTTACGTATACTAGTAAATAAGATATCATACATATGTTAATACGTTGCTTGGATTCACTAATGAGAAGTTTCAGGGAAAGAACTGAAAAACATAATAAAAATTTAGAAATTTAGACAATTCGGCAAATAAAATACCAGAGTACCGTAATGTGTTTAAATTGAAATCGAATGAGATGAAAAACTTTTTAATTTTTAGTGCAGTCAATCACGCAGGGCATATCAGTATACAATAATTAGTACAGTTAGTACATAACATAAAATACGACTGTATAGTAATATATATCACCAAACCGTGTCAAGAACAGTAGACTGGAAAAATAAATATATACTTTATGTACTTATATACATATGAATGTATATAGCAAATAATACAAGAAATATTATAAATGAAATGAGAGCAGCGAATAATTTATTATCTAGGTATGGTCACATACAATTCTGCATGTGAAAATGTGGGTGATTGTTACGGTTTTAATTGCTTTATTACTCTTAACATAATAATATAGTTAATGATTCATTTGGTTTAATGTGACGATTTTGAGACTAATTATGTATATAGTTGGAATGTAGTTGTATGGTATATAGTGAAATTTTAAAAATAAATACAATTTATTTTCATATATTATAAATATATTATTCATATTATAAATATGAACATGGACAAGAATTTGTATATATACGTACGTATTTAATAGTGAAATTTTAGAATTACATAAAAATAATTAGTTTTAAACTTAATCTTATCAACATATCACAGTCAAAACACAACAGTATTTAATTTATTTTAATTCTTTAGATTTTTCACAATCCACTGCAAATAGCTATCGACATGTGTATAAATTCCTGGATATTCCAAACCACATTTATGACCATAAGAAACAATTCCTTCTAAAATCCAAGCGTTACTTTGATTACTTAGACGCATTAATGGGCCGCCGGAGTCGCCTGTACAACTGTCTTGAAGGTAAACACCTCCTGCGCATATCTGCTCTTCTGCTATAAGATGCTTTTTCGCATACAGGCTTTGACAACTTTCCCGGTTCACGAAAGGAACAGTTACTTTGTGCTTCACATCTGTTTGTTTAACTGATTTAATAAAATTTGTAAAAAAATGAATGTTTGCTAATTGAGATATTGAAATATAACCTGTGCCATTATGTCCCCATCCCGCTGTAACTAACTTCATGCCGTGTTGTAAAGGAACATTATCTACCTCGATATAAGGCAAACAAACTGGTTGTATGGAATCAGTAAAATTAATAACTCTATCAACTCGAATGAGAGCGATATCATGGTGATTATGAATTCGCAGATGTTGGTCACTTCCATACTGCTCGTGTACAACTATAGATTCTATACCAACACGTTCAAAAGGTGGAATGCAGGAAGAATTGGAACAGTCTATATGAGTTTTAATATTGTGGTCCCCTAATCGAATAGAAACTCTAAAATAATTGAATAAAATTGCAACTATATATTTCTTAAATAGATTCTTTTTATCACTTACATATGACCTACTTTCGTCTCAATTTTACCTTTAATACAGTGTGCTGCTGTTATGATGTAATAGTTATTTATAATTGAACCGGAACAAACCGAAACAAGAGCACCGTTTGCTACATTTAAAAAAAAATGGGAATCTATGACATATTTTTGTTTTGATTAATCGTATAATATATGTGGTAATACGATATTATATCATATATGATATTATATCATAGTGACAACATCAAAAAAAAAGATATCACAAACTTGTCTGATATTCTAAATTGACCATCCACGAAAATTCCGTTAGTTCTGCTTCAACTCCACCAAAAATTTTATTGGCAAGCGTGACACTACCGCAATAAGGCGGATATGGAATAATTGAACCGTCTTTAACGATTCCATTTGTTGCTGTTTTAATATTCTGCGGAAATTTTCTTATCGCTTCCGTTTTGGTAGGAAAAATAATTTTATCGCTGGGGAATATTACACGATCATTATGATTAAGTATCGTAGATATATGTGGCGAAATTTCAGTACAACAAACGAACGGCGGACTGCCAACACCTACTGGACATTCCAACGAGCTTATTATATAATTGTCCTGCTGAATACTCTGTTTTAGTATATTTTGCAAAGATTGACATTCGTTAATTGACTTGCATAATCCTTTAACTCCATTACCCTTCAAGCAGTGCTCTATTAAAAAAAAAATTTACGGTACAAACATTTTCTATATTATTTGATTAACTTATTTCTCCAAGAATTTCGACTCTTGTTATGTAAAATAAATAAACGAATAAAACAAAAAAAAAAACTCGTGAAAAAAACTGCGACATTTTTCTAAAACGCGAATATATAAATGTTGACCGAAGCACAGATAAAATATAACTAAATGCTATTTCCTCTAAGTAACGCTTCGGGTATTGTTAAGTAAGAATTTTTACACTTTGAGAAATGTTCTTGATAGTATCAATGTTTTAAAATACATGTGAGATCTACAATGTTGCGACTGTATTTTTAAACGCTTTTTATTTATTAATTATTTGTAGTTGTAGGTGTTTTATAAAAAAATTGGCTTATCGTAACGTCTTTAGGTAAACCTCTTCTGTATATAGCAATAAATTTAATGTTAAAATAAATATACACGTTGAAATATGATACTTTTACATATCACTAACCCTTTTTCAATTTAATTTTATACCAAATATTTAATTAAAATTGGGACACTGAATATGGATTATTAATATTTAAAATGCAATCCCTTTTGAGATTCCGTATGAAGTGCTTTCAAGTCAAAAAAAAAAAAAAATAAATGTCTCAATGATAAGGATATTAATTTCCTACACTTCCCTCCACTTTTACATTTATGTTTTATTTCCGTAAAATTATACACATTTCATATTACACATTTGAATTAAATTAAGGATTTTTAAAATGTATATTATTTATACTAATCTAATGTGTTCAAAAGTATTTAAAATTACTTAATTTAAGTTTTTGACAAAAAAAATAAAAACTGACAGCGGTGGGATTCGAACCCACGCCCTTTCGGACTGGTGCCTAAAACCAGCGCCTTAGACCACTCGGCCACGCTGCCCATAAATCATTTGCGTCTTTACTTTTATCTCTAAAACATTCAGATTTCAATATTTGTAATTTTAAAATGCCAATTATAAATGCACTATATGTAAATTAACAATATAAAATATTTTTCTTCCACAAATACAAACGTAATTATCGTAAATCACTTACAGAAAGCTTTTTAATTCGTCTAAAAGCTTTAAGCTTTAAAGTTTCTTGTTCAAACTTTTTCAAACAATTCTTATAGAAACAGAATTACTTATGCGCAATAAAAAGATATTTGAAACGAAAATTGTTTCCAACGTAATTCCAAAACGCATATTGATATGAAAGAACTGAGTAAAGACATTTACTTAACCACTCAGGAAAATACCCAGCGGCACCATTATGCCAGCGCTGAAAAAGTAAGCGAGGAGGTAATAGCTCTTCGTTTTTATTTTTCTTTGTTTTCGACATTTGTTTTCGACATAGGCAATTTCGGGGTTGAAATTATAAAAGAATGAAGAAGAAAAGCAAAGGAGTATTAAGAATTTCTTGTTTTGCCTGCATTGTATACATTTAGTCTATTTTTGATTTTAGTGAAGTGCGTGCAGTAAACAATTTTTAATTTTTAAAATTAAAATAAAATCTAAAAATATAAATAAAATTTGTGAATTTATCATAAACTCACTGTAAGTATATGCAAAATCAAGTAAATATATTTAAAATGATAATTGAAATTTTTGTTTTGTATTATGTAGATGCTACTGCGTCAAGAACGATTAATTTACCAATGTGCTGCGAATGCAGTCATTCTAAAGCAAGGGGTAAAATGTAGTCAGCTGTTTCAATTGGAAAATTTTACAATTCAAACTGAGGAGGATTTAATTCAATTTAATGAAGAAATCACTGCCGTTGTAGTAGTTGTAAGTTAAATTATATATGTTTCTTACTTTCAATTTCAACTTATTAATATATTCACATGTAAAAATTTTACTAATTCATATATTTCTTTTCATCTATTACGTTATTTATAGACTGCATCAATGAGACGCGTTATTAAAAAACAACCAATTACGCGAAAGATTTCGTGGAATTTTGGAGAATGGTACCCAAGACAAGAAGTCCTTAAGAGCGTTAGAGAATGTGACAGCAGCACTTTTTGGTATGGTATATTGTACATAATTAACTTTAGCGTATACAATAACATATTTTTGTATTTACAGATGCTTTAAGTACAGATGGTAAACCGGAACAAGTGATCGAGTTGAGTCTGGAAATCTCTTCAAGGTTTTAGTAACAGTATGTTATATTTTTTTATGTAAATATTAATATTTTAATTGTATAAAACATAAATATAAAATATAATTTATCCAAAAAAATTTATAGTATTTTATTTAAAAATCAATAGCATAGGTAAAATTTAAAAGGTAAGCGAACATGTCAGCGCTGATATGTTGCATTACAAATTCGAAAAGGTAAGCTAACATGTCAGCCCTGATATGTTGCATTACAAATTCGAAAAAGTAATCGAACATGTCAGCGCTTATATGTTGCATTACAAATTCGAAAAGGTAAGCGAGCATGTCAGCGCTGAAATGTTGCATTACAAATTTGAAAAGGTAATCGAACGATTCAGCGCTTGCCCGCAATGACATGTACGTGTTAAAGTAATTAGGAGTTTCATTTGAATAATCAGCGCTAGGCATTACCATTCAGCGCTGAGGGAATCGATTCCCTCAGCGCTGAAAGTCCCGCTGGGTAGACACGCAGTATCAAACTATTAAATTGTGAGCAAAATTATATAACATACAAAGTAAGCAAGAAAAATTAACTTTGGCTTTTCAAAAGCTTGAATACCCTCCACACAGCGTTACTGAAAATTTACTAAAAATGGTTTATAGATTAGAAACGTCAATTTATAAGTTTGCGTTAAAATAAATACAATTGATGAAAATTATAACTCATTTATGGAATCAAGTTTGATAAAATTATATACATACATATGTATGTATGTTAAAAAATGGAATAACTTGATTACAAATTCTTTAATCTGAAAATAACTCATTGAATACAGGTTGATCCAACTGATATGCTTTGCTCAAAATATAAATATATAGCAAGTTTTATCTATAAGAATAAATGGTTACCCTATTCGTGGTTTTAAGTTGGCAGAATTCAGTGACATACATACATATATCAAACAGAACTGGCATCCAAAATTAATCCGTTTTGCCTAAATTGTAAGAACTTACAATTAAAATGGTATCAAGGGTATGCAACTAAAATAGTAACTAACTAGGGTATAATTTATAAGTTCATTCCCCAATCTCAAAAAAAGAGATACTGATTTTTGATGAAAAATAAAAATATGCATATGCAAATGACCGAATGAATTCATAAAGTTGAGCTGTTTATGAAAATATACTGTTATAATGGAACGTACCGTGACGTTCTTCGATTTTTTATTTTCTCTGTTACAAACATGCATTATTTTCATATAGCATAGTAAAGGATTTACAATTATAGAGGGATGAAACCAAACTAAAAAAATTAAAGCGCAGTAAACTTCCTAATAGTAGCATAATATACTTATAGGTGAATCGCATTCATGAAAATAAGTATTCATATTTTAAAGTATACTTCTTTCTTATTCTTGTATTTTCATAACTATGCATACTTTGCTAGAACTATTTTAACCACTTTGACTATAGATATAAAAGTTATGTGTTGATTTATTAATATAAGTACATATATGAGTGTTTGTTTCTATTAATTATTACAAAATTTATTTGCAGTAAGTATATACCGCATGTCTTTATACATATGTATTCTTCTTATTAAACTTCTTATTAACTACTTTCACTCATATCACCGACAAGTTTATGGAAATGTTTCATATTATTGTTTCGCTCACGTCGTTTCCGAAACTATGCCTTATCACTTATCTGTTGCTTTTGGTGAATTTTGGAACCGAATTTTAATATTAAGTTTCATTCCTTGCAATATCAGATTCAGTGGAGCGTAGTTCCGTCAGTTACTGCTAAAAAATGTTTTCTGTCTGTACTTTTGACTTCTTAACGAATTGTTAGACAACGTGGTTTTTATCACTTCTCGATATGCGGCAAATTTTCAAGTGAACAAAAACATAATTCAAATATGTTGTGCTTTATTAAAATTTATCATCTTAAAAAAAAAGCAGCAGCACTCCTCGCATTAAAATAATATAGTATATAAAGCGCTATAGATTTTAATAAATCGCAAATATTGAAAATAAATTCTTGAAGAGGTATACGGCATGTTATTTAGTTAGCAACCTTTTATATAAAATATGAATTATGTATTTAAATACCTAAATATCTACAAATTCATGAACTAAATAATTGCAATTTTTTGGAAACAATATTAATTTATATTTTATGTTAGTTTAAATATAATTAATCAAATCCAAAAAGGTTAAAAAAGTTAAAAACTAGCATTGTATAAAATTTTTTCATCTTTGGATCCCCTATAATAATGTTTAAAATTTTACCATTTTACCAGGGTTGAACCCTTTTCATATGACGAAAAATGACGTCAGCTGTTCTTATTTTTTAATTGCATCCAAATAAAAAGGTCAAATTCATTTCAAAGATTTATAATTAAAAAAATTTAACGTCGACAAATTTGATCAATAACGCTCAAGGGACATATTACAACTAGAATGCGAAATGGAAGTTTTGCATAAAAAACATTTTTTAATAAAATACTCGAATTAATTGAAATTGCACAAATAACGAAATTTCACAAACTGAGGAAACCCCATTTTGGTTTTAATTCGGTAAATGTTACATCATCAAATGTTATTGAAATTACATACGCTCCATGAGCCAATTTTACGATTAAAAATTCTCAAAACACTGTATAATTAATTACAATTTTTATCAATAGAAAACTAATTTAGCATAAGTAAATCAGGATTGACTATTGGACAACGTTTAAAAAACGACGGTACTGCCACAACACTCCAGTTAGCCACATAGCTAAGGACTCGATTTATCATTTTGCCTGAAATGAGGCTAGTCAGTATAAGTGCGGTTACAGGCGTGTTACTTTTAAAAATACTGTAACATATAGTGTCATTTCAACAAAATGAGATGGTCTGCTATGAAAAAATACTCTCTGAATTGACTTTGAAAAGCAATGCGTCTTATATTCTTATTCTTTGCTTGATGAAACGCGAGGTGGTGTCTAAAGCACTTTTGCTAAATAGGTCTGTGACCACTTGGATGATTCACTATAATAAAAGCTGCGTTGAATTCTGATA